ATTACCTACTGACTATAAATTCTGATTTTTTTTCAATGATAATAGTTGTACACGCTTAATTTTCAAGTATGACACCAGATTTGAGAAAAAATATTGGGTCTGACAAAGCCCGGGGTATTACAATCATTGCCAGTGAGAGAGATATCAAGTTAAGGAATCAGAGAATGCTGTTAGTGGTAGAGATCACAGACTGAGATGATTTAGACCGTGATCAGGAGAGCTGGGTGGGTTTGAAGATGGAGCAGACTGGGTAAGAGGACAGAATACCTCAGGTTATGAGGACAGGGTGGAAACAGGAAACCGAAATAATTCAAGAAAAGGCTTGTTTTAGTAGGCATAGAGGCATATCTCATGCAAGAATCTTTATATTATCCCTTTTCTAAATTTGTAAATTTTTGCAAGGGCTGATCTGCTGAAGTGTTTTCGCAAGCATAAGCTTTCTTCTTCCCCTCCTCCTCCCCTTCCCTCCATCCTTCTCCTTTTCCTCCTCCTCCTCCACCTCCTGATCAGGCTTGAGACAGGGAAGGGTAAGGGGAGGGGGAATAACTGCTCTGTGACAGCTCCTGAAAGCAGCTATGAAATCTTATTTTCAGGCCTTTTTCTCTCCTATCTGCCCCCATGGAGACTCCGGAAATTACAAATTAAGACATTTTAGGAAAATGGTGCATAACCATTTACTTTAAAAATCTTATAGAGTGCTACACTTCTGTGGATAGAAATTCAAAAATGTATTATTAAGGTTTTTTGTAGTGGGAGGTGTTTCCTATATAACTGAGGGTTCAAAGCCTATTGTTAGAGGGTCCACAATTCATGGAAATTGTTTTATTTAATGGATTCCCTTTACCCTCAAGCATTGACTTAATTGGTTTTAACATGTTTCACAAAGCTGGATTTAGTGACTGACTTTTAAGAATTGTTTGGAAAACTTGAGTGCTATTTTTTAATGTAAATTTTGTTTCCTATATTATTGCACAGAGTTTTTTTAAAGTCTGCTGTATATCAGACACTGAAAATGTGTGAATGATTATCCTTAACATCAAGTGATTCACAATCTAGGGAGAGAAACAGTTGCAGAAACAATTATGTGTATAGTAGAATGTGTTTCAATAGATGATATGCAAAGTATAGTGGGGTCAAATATTTAGCAAGAAGGATTGTAGAAAAAGTTTATATTTGATTTCAGTATTGAAGGATGAATGGAATTCCACCAGCTAGAAGATAAAGCATATTTAGTAGGAGAGAACAGCAGACATGCAGTCATGGAATCATGGAAGATGTCTTCTCACTCTGAAGTGTGTTTAAGTACAACTGAGTGTGGGTGGGTGACACTCATGAGACTGTGAATGTTGGCTGGGCCAGGGCTTGGAGGAGCTGGTTAGTGTTCCAGGGAGATGCATTGGGTGAATTATAAACATTTGAATGAGAAGAACAAATTTGCACTTGGGAAACTCAAAGTTCTCAACTGTTATTACTTTTTTAAGTGAACAACCAAGTTATCGTTGGTAAAATAAAACCTTATACACTAGCTTCCTTCCTCTAAATTTGTGTATTCTCATTTCAGTGAAAGTGTTAATTCAATATCATGCTTTCCCCATTTTCTTCATAAGTCTATGTCAAATATTAGGCCAATATTGAGCTCTTAAGTGGTTTCCCCTAGTTAACATTGTTCTGCCACTGATCATGTATTCAAAGCTAGTTCAAGAAAAATTAAACTGCTACATTTGTCATAACTTATGTCTATCAAATGATAAGTTATGCAGAAATGAAAGTGAGGCATTGCCACCCAAGATCCTCCTTCTTTAAAAACATATGGTGTGGTAAATACAATGACAGGGAAAAAAAAGCAGAGAGATAAGGGAGGATGCAGGACACACATCTCATCCAGACTGAAAGCTGGACGAGGCTTCTTGAATGAGATGAGTGAGAAGCGCTGTGAAGAATCAGTAGGTGCAGGTGCTGTGGATAGGTTAAATATAATGGGAAAGCTCTCGGTGGAGTGTTTTTCATGGGAGCCACACATAATCTGCAATAATGGCATTATTTATGAAAGTTTAGATTAGATTTGGCTTTGTTGAAATAATGTATAATAAACCAGTTTCAAGATTGAATGGGTTCACTTCCAGTACAGAAAATAGTATAACAGATATTAGCAATTCTCTAAACTTTCAAATTACTTTTTCTGATGAAATGGTATTTAGACATTATGCTTCAAAAGATGGCTTTTCAAACTGTAAAAATGTTTCCCATATGTATTATATTTAGATTATACTCTAATTGTGAAGTGTTGAATTTTATTGTGTCAAATATTGATCAGTAGCCAATTATTTTTGTCCTTAAATTTCTTGTTTTGATAATTTTATCTTGTAAACATTTTGGTCATCATTATAATATTTTGTATTTAGAAATACTTTATGCAAAGTTTATTATGATAAATAAATTTTCCTATGCTGTAAAATGGCATTTTGTAAGATTAATATGTATTTTACACATTATTACATCATAATCTCCAGAAATTTATATTCAGAAATGTGTCCCCATAGACTCAGAAAGGTTTTAATGTATATTATTGCCTTGCTTAGTTAAAACAAACAAACAAACAAAAAAAAACGATTCTTAACCTCTTGTTTAATTCTTTTCAATTGTAATAGAGGGAAAGATGTGTGAAAGGCTTTTGAGAACCAAATAATAACTAATTAATATAACAATTGTAATCAAATTTTGTTTTTTATATTAGACTATGCATTTTCAAAACTCTTGTGGTTAGATATCTGTGCTACTGGGAGATATTAAAAATAATGTTGCCTCTTTAGCTCCACTGTTTGTGAAGCAAATCTTTAGCTAAGCGTTCATCTCCAGCCTAAGACCAGATCTATGTTGAATGGGAAAGAAAGTCTTAAAAGACTGAATAGGAGATAAGTTGATAATAGCTGTCAAATTTCCTAAAAGGAATTGTCTTGGAAAAACCAAGTAACTTTATCTGGAACAAGGTCAATTGATAAATAGTAATAACTTCAGTGGCTGTAATTTAAACATCATTATTGAAACATCAAATTTATATATTTTCTCTTCTGAAGAACAGTTCTTGAAATAAACTTTTCTCTTCAAAGCACATTTTCTGCTAAATATTAGATTTTTGCTACTACGTGGTAGAATAAACCACTGTTTTTCAATATGTAGGTTGTGACCAAATTTTCATGGGGTTGTGGATATTAAAATGGAGATATTTTCATAATGTCAAGTTGTTACTGAGTAGGTAAACCTCTTTCTGCCTAAATAGAGTGTCTAAATCTGCCTTAGTTCATTCAAGGCTGTTAGAACAAAATGCTATAGACTGGGTGGCTTATAAACAGTAAAGATTTATTTCTCACAGTTCAGGGTTCTGAAAGTCCAAGACCCAAGATTTCGGTATCTGAGGAGGACTTGCTTCCTGGATTGTAGATGATGCCTTCTCACTGGTTTCTCATGTGGGAAAAAGGGCAAGCTACCTCTCTGGGATCTCCAGTAACACTTATTCCATTCATGAGAGCTCTGCCCTCCTGGCATAATCACCTCCCCAGAGCCTTCCTTCCTAATACCATCAGGTCGGCAGTTAGGTTTCAACACAGGAATTTTGGGGCAGCAGAAACATTCAGACCATAGCAGTCTCCTACCAAAGTTTTTGGGAAACAGAGAAAGGGTGACTGGAAATAGGAAATCCTGCATTCTGGTCCTTCTTTGGCCCTTATCAGCTGCAGTTGGGCCACTTGTTCCCATGGTGTCCTTCCGTGATGTTTTCTAAGTTATTTGCCTGGATATTATTAAAAACAATAATGTTAACACCACTACTGATACAAGTAGCCAAGATTTACTTATTTTGCAAGCATTATACACCGAGTATAGTGCAACGTGTTTCCCATGCATTTCGTCATTCACTCTTTACAACGTACGTACACACACAGGGAAAGACGCAAAGTTTAAAAATCTGACTTTGACTTTCATCAACATCCTCCCTTATTTTTGATGTGGAGGAAAGATGAGAGGTTTGTATGCTCTGGTTGTCCCTGGTGCCATTCACACAAACCTGTCAGGGTGCCTTCTGAATAACAGTTACTTAAGAAGGATTTGTTGGAAAAATAAAAACTCTTAAAATAGGTTCCATGTGGCTACAAATGTACTAATATAGAGACTGTGTCCTTGGGGCATTAGCTGTCCTGCAGGGTTTGTTATTCCTTCTTTCATGCTGTCCTCATTCACTACCATTCTTCTTGTTATGATGCCTTTTCATACTTCCAGCAGGAGAGAGTCTGCCATGGTGAGGAACGAATCATGTTTTTCCTAGGGCACAGGCATGGCTATCTTTCTTGTATAACATCAATAAAGGAATCCTCAGGGTGGGCCAGAATGCTCTTCTATAAAAATGATTCAAAAATTAACATAAAAATATGTTAGAAAAGCTTTATAGTTATAAAGGAATTACTGTTTTTTTTAACAATTTTTTACAGTTTTTAACAATATATTTTCACCTTTAAATACCAAAGGGAATTTCTTAACAGATTTTCTTATGTGACCACATGCTCTAATGGTATGTATTTATACAAACTCAGAACATTATTTAATTACTGCTGTGTTATTTCAAGTTTTAAATACAGTCATGTGTTGCTTAATCACAGGGTACAGTCTCAGGGATACATTCTGCATCTCCAGGCAATTTCATCATTGTGCAAACATCAGAGCACACTGACACAAACCTAGGTGGTGTAGCCTTCTACACAGCTAGGCTCTACAGTACACACCATTGCTCCTAGGCTACCAACTTGTACAGCATGCTACTGTATTGAATATATATACATATTAAAATCAATGGGCAAATATCATAAAGTAACTAAGAATAATATCATGCAATCAATGTAAAAAGTGTAATTGATTTAGTGTTTCTGGAAGAATGGGTTTTTAACTTTGTGTTCTCAGTTTCTTTACTATTTCTACTCAAGTAACTAAAATGATACATTTTTGCTTTTTAGTCACTCAAGACTGCTTGCAACTGATTGCAGACAGTGAAACACCAACTATACAAAAAGGTAATAAAATATCCCCAGTACTTTTCTACTTAGAATTCAGTCCACTCCAAATATTTATGTTTCAAGTCTAAAGACTGTATTTGAATTGCATCTAAAATCAATCATCCACCTCAAAACTCCTTATAATCAGATTAAAAAAACTTAAATTTATTCAAAATGATTTGGGAATAAATAATAGTTAAGGCTAAAGTAATAATCTAATAAGCAGAATGACCTTAGAGGCAAAAATATTTAGAAATGTTAAATAATTAGACTATGCCGGGCGCGGTGGCTCAAGCCTGTAATCCCAGCACTTTGGGAGGCCGAGGCGGGCGGATCACGAGGTCGAGAGATCGAGACCAACCTGGTCAACATGGTGAAACCCCGTCTCTACTAAAAATACAAAAAATTAGCTGGGCATGGTGGCGCGTGCCTGTAATCCCAGCTACTCAGGAGGCTGAGGCAGGAGAATTGCCTGAACCCAGGAGGCGGAGGTTGCGGTGAGCCGAGATCGCGCCATTGCACTCCAGCCTGGGTAACAAGAGCGAAACTCCGTCTCAAAAAAAAAAAAAAAAAAAAAAAATTAGACTACAATACAATAAAAATCAATACTAAATCAAATTTAATTTTTATTATTTAGACAGCATTCTGTCTTTTAGAATGACTCAAGACCATTTTCACAAATATTAATTCTCCTGTTATATTCAGTTGTAAAAATCATAGAAAGAGGAAAATAAAACTGAACAGATTGTTAAAATGAGATTTAAAAAATAAATTTACTAATTTACCATTTTCTCAGAGGTAGAATGTTTTACATTTTTCAGTTATTTGAAGATTTTTTTAGTTTTAATTTTAGACAAATAAGTGTTTTCTGTACTAATGGACTAATACCAGGTTCACAGAGAAAAGACTTTTAATGTCATTTCCCAATGTGTATCACCCAGCCTATTAATCCAGAGGAATGGTCCTTGAAGTGAGAGTTTCTGTGTCAAATAAGTTTGGAAACACAGCATCTAATATATTTTTCTTCAAGTCACAAGGCACATTAGAAAGTTACTGAATAGAAGTAGTCCTACTTTAAAAAAATACTTGTGCTGGGCGTGGTGGGTGACCCTGTAATCCCAGCACTCTGGGGGACTCAAGTGAGTGGATCACGAGATCAATAGATCTAGACCATCCTGGCCAACATGGTGAAACCCCGTCTCTACTAAAAATACAAAAATTAGACGAGTGTGATGGCCTGCATCTGTAATCCCAGCTACTCTGGTGGCCGAGGCAGGGGAACCGCTTGAACCCAGGAGGCGGACGTTGCAGTGAGTTGAGATTGCGCCACTGCATTCCAGCCTGGAGACAGAGTGAGACTCCATCTTAAAAAAAGAAAAAAAGGAAAAAAAAAAACCTGTTTGATTGTTTCATCTAGTTTTTCACAAATTTGTTTGACTATGCTGCTTTAACATGTATCGACCTCTCTCTGAAAGCAAATGGCAATTTCTGCTCTATAGTAGCTTTTATTTATATAACTAATGAACAGAAATGTACTAAGAAGAGCCATTCATTCACTCACACATTCCTTGATTCATTTGTTTTACATTTGTTGATTAAAAACATACAATATTCTAATTACCATATGGGCACTGGGGGTAGCAGTGATTAAAATATGTACAAATGCTCCTCAGCTTTGATGGAATTATGTCCTGATAAACCCATTTTAAGCTGAAAACAACATACATTGAGTAAACCATTTGGTACATCGAACTTATCAAATATCATAGCTTAGTATAGCCTAGCATAAACCTGCTCAGAACACTTATATTAGCCTAAAACTGGGCAAAATCATCTGACAGGAAGCTAACTTTATGGTAAGGTATTGAGTAGCTTATGTTATGTTTTGAATACTGTAGTGAGGTATAATTTCTCCTGAATGTATGTGGCTTTCACACCTTTGTAAAGTTGAAAAGTCTAAGCTAAACCATTCCAAGTCCATACGTATGGTTTTTTACTTTGATGGAGCTTACCTCTTGATAAAGAGAAAACAGAAAAAAAAAAAAAAAAAAAAAAAAACAACCCATAAATGAACAAGTAACATGCAGATGAAATGAAATGCTGTGAAGGAAACAAAGCAGGCAGAGGTTGGAAGGAAGTTTTGTGTTGTGAACTAACTACGAGTTCGGGAGTATCTGAAGGTTAAGTTAAGGGATGAGGAATAGGCAAAGCAAAAACTAGCACAGATAATGACTGTGAGTCAGCGCTGGTAATGGTTCCCTGGGATGCTCTTTCCATCCGTGTTTTATCTATGTGACTGTATCCTAAATGCAACACAGGTGCCAAACTAGTTGTAAATCTATTATTTATTGCTCAACATTTTCCCAAATCATGTTTGCAACTTTTAATAAGGAGCACTCTGTTTCCTAAGAAGTAAGAGAAAGCCAGAAGATCTTCAAGGCCAAAGTTATCATTTAAAAAAATGACTTGGAAAAGGTTTACTTTACACATCTGGCCCTCCCAAAATGCTATAAATTGCACCAAATGATGCAGCTGCTATACTCCAATGTGCCTGTGAATTGTACAGTAGGCTGTGATCTTCCTGGAGTGGTGACTGCTTGCACGGATCCCAGGGTGCTGAACGGGGATGCTTACTTGGGATGCTGGCTTGTAGTACTCTGACCATTAGGATGAATGGGTTGGCCTTGTGATGTCAGCAAACTCTTGACCAGTATATAAATGTTAGTGTGCAAGAACATTTTAGCAGGGAGAGAGAGGCAGGTTGCATTTTGTTAAGGAAGGTTGTACCCAATGAAGCATTTTTACTTGCATAAGTAAAAATGATTCATAAGAAGACTTCTGGAAAAAGATAATGCATTATTAATTTTACAGCATATTATATATTACAATATATTATGATTAGCATATTTTATATATCATCTCATTCTATTATAAATAACATCAGGTCTTGAGATGAAATTATTTTATATATTCCAGAGGTTGAAAAGAGTGGGGCTACATCCATCCGATATTTTCAGTTCCTGTGCTCTGTCCCACACTTTTGTCCAGACAGTGAAGGTAGAGATAAACCACACAAAAGATAAAAAGACAGGAGCAGTTTATCAGAGTGTAGTCTCATGCGTTTTCTGTTCATTTGTTTTTTTGAATTTTAATATAATTTTTGAATAGGTAATACATTCACATATTGCAAAAAATAAAAAGCACGAAGAGTTTGGATTGCTTCTTTTCTGTTCCTGTCCACACTCACCTCACTTTTAGTTTCCCATGTAGATTTCAGATGCCCTCTACATTAACACAAACAAATGTAAATGCAGTTCTGCTTTTCTCCTTTCTTACAGTAAACACTTAAAACCATATCTGCAATACATATGATTTGAAAATGAGATTGCGACTTGCTTCCTTTATTTAACAACGTATATTGTAGACATTTGATGTCTGTGTACAGAGTTCCTCATATTTTTTTAAAAAGCAGCGTAATATTCCATTGTGTAAATTTAATGTATTTAACCAGGCCACTACAAATAGACTTCTTGGTGTCCATCTTTTGCAATGCAGGTGCTGCAAAAAAATGATTGTGTGCATCTGTAACTTCTCATATGTCAGCTTCTGTGTGAGACAGATTTCGAATTTTGACAGTTATTGCTAAATGGTCCTATAGGGGTTACAAAATGCATGTTATCACTGGCAGCAAAAGAACACCAGGTGAAAAATAGCATCTCTTAATTTGCTTTCTTTCAAGCCATTCTTTTGTATGTTTTAAGAACCATTTGTATTTTCTGTCTTTACATTCTTTCAATTTTTCATTTCTATTTTTATTTCTTTTTCTGTGAGCCATCTGTTCATATTTTTTTTTCTATTTTTCCTTTGGACTTTTGTAATTTTTAAATTGATTTCTATGAGCGCTTTATATCTCAAGCAGACTAATTCTTCATATTATGAGTTGGAAGCACTTCCTCCCATGCTTTCATTTGTCTTAAATTTTGCTTGAAGTTTTTTTTTTTTTTTTTTGGTCAAATTTTATCAATTTTTTAAAACAGATTCTGGATCTTGGGTTGTGATTAGAAAGTCTTTTATTCTTAAATGTATTAAGGAAGGATCTCATGTTCCTTCAGAAACTTTTAGAGTTGTTTTCTACCTTCAAATAATTTATCTATTTGCAATTTATCCTAATATAAGATGTGAGGTATGCAACCAATTTAATTCTCTCCCATGAGAACATCACAGATTTTTTTAAATCACCCATCTTTTCCACATTGCTTAAAGATATTAACTTTAACTTCTATTAAATTCCTTATTTAGTCTATGTTTTTTCACTTTTTAAATACTTTTCTGTTATACTATCTTATTTATGCACCCCAATAAAATAGCATTTTGGTTATTAGGGCTTTATAAGATGATTTGGTAAATCTAATTCTCTTATCATTTTTTCTTTTTATAGAATTTTTCTGTATACACACACACACACCCCCAACAATTCTAGATGTACAGATCAAATCTAATCCAAAAACCTGATATATACTTATATTTGTTTAGTCTCTTTTTGTTTCTTTTAGTATTTATTGAAATTTTCTTCAAGAAGTTCTTGCATATTTCTTGTTAATATCATTATAAGGTATTTTACCTTTTCAAATGCTATGATAAATATAAACATTTTCTTTCATTATATTTTCTAGTTGGTTGTTCTTTTTGTGTATAAAGGCCTTGAATTCCATGATATATCTTTTCAACATTAAGGTTGAAATGTTTTCTTTGTGGAGGGTGGGGGTTGCATTTCCCTAGCATGACCTCGCCCAAAATTTGACTTTTAACTTCTCTCAAATAATTTGTTTTCTGTGTTCCTCATGTATGCAAACCAGAGTTGCTCTTTGTTGTTTGATCTCATCTTAAAATAATTTGTATTTATTGGATGATATAAACCAATTTACGTTTACTTACTTCAGAAATATATTTGGCTTTTGTTCACTGTATTGTGCTATATTGTGTATTTTTTTATACATTAACAGAAGAGTTTCTATTTT